CAGAGCAGTGCCCCCAACCCTCCTGGAGCTGACAAGCTCTGCCAAGACCACCCTGGGCACGCATTGCCAGGCCCAGGGGCACCTGACCCAGGGGCATTCAGGTGCTTTGCTTCTTACATGTGAGATACTCAGCACAGCTCTCACAATCACAGTTGTTCGTGGAGACTGTCGTGCCACGGCGGTGTCTGTGGGTGCTCTGGCGAGCACAGCCGTCACATTCCCAGCTGGTTATACTGTCCTTCAGGCCAGAGCAGTGTCTGTGGGTGCCCTCGGCAGCACAGGAGGAGCACAGGAGCAGTTGCCAGGGCCTGGGGAAGCAAAAGGGTTCATGGAGGTGAGGACAAAGTGTCCAAAGCATGGGATTATCTGACTGAGCTCTTCTCCTGGGTCCTTCTGCTTCAAGCCCTGCAGAGCCCCGGGGTGCAGCTTCGGCAACTTACCCCTCCTCCTCTGCCTCCTGCCTGCCTCCTGGACAAAGGCACTCACTGGCATCACAGTGCCTGTGTCTCTCTCCCAGCTCATCGAATGCAGTGTCGCTCTCCCATGATGGTAGCCTGATGGGAAAAGGAAAACTGATGAGCTCCCTCTGCCCTGGCATCGGGCAGGTGCAGGGGGTCCCTGCTCTTCCCCCTGTGCCATTTCCAGCTCCTGTGGGAAGCTGAACCCGGGACTCATGGAACAGGGCAGGGCCAGGACTGCTGGGGCAGGCCCTGGCACAGCACTTGCCACTTGCATCCCCTGTGTCGTGAGCCAGGCAGAAGGACACCAACCTGAAGGGGATTCGGATCCCCATGGTGAACATCTCCACGAGAAATTCCTGCCTGTTTCTGCAGATGGGGCACCGGAGGGTTAAAAATCCAGAGCTCAGAGCCTGTCCCTGCAGGAGAAACACAAGCAGCCAGAGTGAGACCCTGATGCTGCTGAGCCCCTGCTGTGCCCCCTGGGGTGAGGGAACCACTCCTACTTGGATGCAGTCCCTGTGGAACCAGGTGGTTTTGCAGGCTGGGCACACCATGGTATTGAAGGTCTTTCTGTGCTCCACAGGCTCCATGCAGATGAGACATTCGGTGCCCGGCTCTGGAGTCGCCTCCACTGCCTGTTCTGGGCTGTGTGTGAGGCAGAAGGCCCTGGGGGAAAAAAGGGGTGGGTGAGGTAAGAAGTGGTGGTGGCAAGGAAGGGACAGGAGGTACCTGTACGGTGTAATGAACTGGGTGACACAGCGTCCCTGCTTGGAACAGGGCAGGTGGAAGTTCAGGTCTCAGTCTGTTTCGCAGCAGGAGATCGTGGCCCTGCTCTGGCCACAGATGCAGCAGCTCTGGAAAGAGCAGAGCAGCCCCATCAGCAGCAGCCTCAGGGCCTCCTCATTCTCCCAGAGCTGGTTGGAAAGGCTGGGCTTTCTTGCTTGGGGTCTGGGCTAAGCTCCAGCAAACCTCGCCTGGCACAAATCTCCCTGCTCTTGTCAGGCTCTCACCTTCTGTGCTTCCCGGGAGACTACATCTAGGATATCCCTTGGGAGGAAAATCCTGAGTCCTACTCGATCAGCCGGGTGGTGAAGGAGGTGGCTGGCAAAAAACTGCAGGAAAAATGTTACGCAGTGATGAGCAGAGAGTGGCAGGGATTGCCTGTCAAAAAATGGAGGGGGCTCACGGAGCTACTCACCAGGCAGAACTCATGGACACAGAACCCATTTATCTGGAGTTTTTCCCCGCAGATGTCCTGGTCAGCCTCTGATCGCTGACATAGCAGGCATGCTGGAGGGGAGAGAGACAATGGCCCCGGGCATGGCACCTGTACTGCCCGCCCCGACAGCCCCTCTGCCAGGCTGAGGGAGGGGCACTTTGCTCTCACCTTTCTCCCTCCCTTCGAGGGGCTCCTCCTCCCTGTCTGACATGGGACGTGTCAGCGGTTGGTCCCTGTCCCACTGTCCCACCGGTGAGTGGGGCTCCCAGTACTGGGTGCTGCAACACGGCTCCTATCACGGCAGCTTCTGGATCCACTGGATGAATTTGACATCCGACGCTGCTGGTGGGAGTGCTGTTGCCTTTGAAAGTCCTGGCTTCTGTCTCTATTGGGTTTTTCCTCCCAGCACTCAGTGCTGGCGGGCAGTTCCTGTCATTGTGACTTCTGGACCCACCAGATAGATCTGGGGTCTGCTGTTGCAG